ATATATATATATATATATATATATATATATATATATATATATATATATATATATATATATATATAGACTTAATTTAGATATTTAAATATATACAATTGTATATTTAATTAATAAATTATATAATATAATTATAAAGAATTAAATGTTTAATTAAAATAAAGATACTGTATAAATGTATTATATACTTTTATACTTTTGTTTACTTTGAAATGTAGATAATATATAAAGATTAAAATATTTTACGAAAAATATTATATATAAATATATTTGGCTTACATATATTTAGATATTTAAAATAATTTTAATTGTAAAAATAAAAGTCTTCGCTGTTTAACGGTCCTCTTCCACTTCCTTCTATGGTCTCAATTCATTTTAGATTCAGTTGCAGTTCAGATTCATATCCAGTCTTAGTTCAGTTCAGATTCAAAACTGTTTTTGGTGATTTTATTGGCATGACTCTCTTTTCAATGCATTGAAAGAACAAAAGAACATTATAAAGAGGTCAACTATTAACAATTATGAATAATGAATATGCAATATCCTTTCTCTACAGGCAAGGATAAATCGGAGAAGAACTTTGCTCTGACATTTGTGAAGCTGATGAGGTACGACGGCACGACGCTGAGGGATGGAGAACACGATCTCATCGTCTATAAGGTGAAACCAACACAATTGCCAGTGATCTCAAAGCCCACACACACACACACACACACACACACACACACATACACAGATATGTGAGTTGTATACTGATGCTGCTTGTCCTCGTTTGTCCCATTTAACCTATGACCCCGCATCACAATGTAATCATTATGCAATTAAGCTTTGTTCGTGTATTCATTCTTTTCTTATCTGCATATGAAAGAGCTTCATTAATGCAGAACGTCGCCTGGTCAAGTCCTTTTTGAGCAATGCAAATTAATCTTCGTACAAATCATCGCTTTATAACTGATCTGATGTTGGTTTTACTGCTTGTGCAAAACTGGCTCTGAAAAAGTCAAATCAAATGTATTTAAAAATGCAACATTAAAGACAAATTTAATTATAAAAAGCATTAAGAATGTGTTAACTGATTGACAGCTGTCAGTCACTGAATGCATTCTTCAGTCTCATGCAAACAGGTGTTGTTCTCAAGATGTGTTTTTCTCTATTTGTAGGCCGAAGCCAAGAAACTGGAGGACTCCACCATGTACCTGAGCTTGGCCTCCACCAAACCAGAGATGGAGGAAAGAAATCCGTCGTCCGGGAAGAACACGCAGAATCTCGGCAGCTTCTCCATCAGCAAAGACTCGTTTCAGATCTCGACGCTTGTTTGCTCCACCAAACTCACGCAGAACGGTGAGACACGTCCACTTGCATCATTTCCCAATCCCATCGTGTCCTCTCGTTCCTCTGTTCTTCTGTCAGTAAAAGTGGCCGCAAAAAGAATAAATAGGGCTGACAAGTCAGTGTTTGCAACCAGTTTCCTGCAGTAATGTGACGTATTTCAGACTGAAACTAGATTTTTCACTTTATCCAAGAATTGATCACATTTTGAAAAGTAGTTTCTGTATGAAGTAGTTGAAAAGTAAGAGCTTGCTAATGTCAACCAATGTTATTTTAGTATCTTTGAGATGCTATTATAATTTGAATTA